GTTGACAAAAATTAAAGGAAAGGAGAAGCTGGAGGGGAGCTCTCCCTTCTAAATAAGAATAGAAAAAAAAAAAACATCTTGAGAGTAACAGTTTGCATCAAAATAACTGATTTCAAACACACAAGAACACTACCTTGCAAGACTGATGTGCTACATTCACTAAACTGCATACTTCCACTGCAGATCATTTATAGAACTCCAGAGGAAATGTGACTTTCTCTCTACATTTCTTATTCAGTGATCACAACTCCCTTACTTGGTGATCTGTGATTCATTAAGGGAATTCTCATTTTCCCCAAAGGACACAAAGATGCCAGGAGCCATCACAGTATCTTAAAATAAAAGTTCATGCAATGTAAGATTTTGAATGAGAGAATTTAAGATGTATCCATACCTCTGAATCAGATACGACATCCACATCATTTCCAACTGAGTCAATGAAGTCATAGGCCATCCCAAAGCTATTTTAAAAAAATATTACAAGTTAAGACAGTTCCAGTGTGACATTACAAACTGGCTTTTATATCTATTAAATCTTTGAAAGGTTTCATTAAAAAAAAACAATCCAGCTAAACATCACCAAGTGTAGTGAGACCTAAAAGTAACAAAGTGATTTCATCTTTATATTCTGCAAGTTTTTCAAATACATCTTTGAAAGGGCTTAGATCTAATTTCAGGACATTCTAAAACACTATAAGTTTTGTTGAAATCAAGGAAAATAGGAGAAAATGAAGGATTCTTTTTAACACTGAATATAAGAAGAGATCTTCAAGGAGTTTCTCTTTAACGCATTAAGCATATTAAAGACTTTGATTTTAGTAGCTGTAATTGAATTTTACCTCTCATTCACATTTTCCAGAACTGCCCTACATGTTGTAACAGACACCTTGTCTCTTCCTCCACCCTCGTTAAGGAAATTACAAGGTACTTAAGTTGGAATATTTCAATGTACAGATCATTCTTTAAAACAAATCCGGACACTCCTAAAATCTAAAGCATACATGATATGCAAGTTATACTCTCGTTATCAGCCTTTTAATACTGACACTAGAGAAAGAGACTGAACTGCCAGCCTCTATTTGAAAAACACAGTATCTAAAATAAATATGAAAAATTCACAAAGCCTTGAAAAAAATGTTACTCTGCTCCAAAAAGTACAGCTCCTAAAAGAGATGAAGGGGATGTAAACACAGACCTTGAACAAACTGTTAAATTTCACTGACTGGCTGACTTGGTGTGAATGTGCTTGTTCAGCACAGGATTTGAGCCTCCTGCTTATGAACACTCTGAACTGAACTCATTCAACAATTTAGCAAACATTCACAGAGAAAGGTAACACTGTTTCTTGGGTGTGCCCCCCATCTCACCAACAGTGTCATGGAAATACAAATCCTGATATAAAATTTCATTTGCCATTGGTCAGGTCCAGTTTCTAAAGATCCAGAAGAGTTATAAATTGTTTTTCAAGGGGAACCACATGTTCCGTTTTCACCTGCTATCAAAGGCAGAAGGGCTGGCTGAACCAGTCCAGTTTGATCTGGGCCAACCAGGGAAGAACAAAAAGTCAGTTTGACTGTCTGAGGTAAGGTGTCAACATACACACAAGTAATAATCAACATCATCAATCACTTATAAAGGAGACAAAATCAGAGCATAGAAGCAACAAGATGAAAAACTAGAGGGAGAATGGTTAAGACAAAGCAGTATGTAGTTGCTATGGCAAAACCTGTACTTTCTACTTTAAATTATATAGAATCCAAGCTCACAATCAGAATTATTATGGAAGGCCTGGAAAACAACAGGGGCTGCTGTTATTTACCTTGAGAAGGGTTTACTTTTTTTGCTGTTGCCCAGAATGGTTGTCCCTGCTGGTCCCAGCTTGGCACTTTCCCGTAACCAGTTGGCAGGAGGCAGCTTCAGGTCTGTTTTCTCCTGCAGACGAGCAAAGGCTGCTTGAGGAGGGGCTGAGGAGTATTTCACCACAGCACTGCTCTTCACCTCATTGCCTCCAAGGAACAGCACCGACCCCTGCTTTCCACAGAGAATTTAAATTAGCCTTCTAAGTGTTGGCAAATAAATCTATCAAGCTTGCTCTGTGATAACTTATTTTTAACACCATGTGAGCAAAACCCCATCTTATATTCTTTTACCTTTCCCCAGCACATACAGTTTTCCAGTTATCACAATTCCAACTCCTGTCAAGCATAAACTTCACTTTAGGAATTATCACAGAATCATTTAGGGTGGAAAAGATTATCAGCTCAAATCTGTGATGGATCACCACACAGTCACCCAGACCAGAGCACTGAGGAAAACATGTAGTCTTTCCTTGGACATCTTCGTGGATGGGGACTCCACTACTGCCTAGGACAGTGGGTTGTCTTAACTTGACAACCTTTTCCATGAAGGAATTCTTCCTGATGCCCAACCTGAGCCTCCCCTGGTCCAGCCTAAGGCCATTCCCTCTCCTCCTGTCCCTGTTCCCTGGGAGCAGAGCCTGACCCCCACTGCAGAGCCAGAAATTCCTCCTGAGTCTCCTTTTCTCCAGGCTAAGCCCCTTTCCAGCTCCCTCAGGAGTTCTCCAGCCCCTCAATGTCTTTCTTGACATACCAGCCCCAGAGCCAATGCCAGGATTTGAGGCTGGACCTCAGCAGCTCCCAGCACAGAGGGACAGCCACTGCCCCACTCCTGTGGCCACACTGCAGCTGATCCAAGCAGGATCCAAGGATGTGGCTGATCCAAGAAGGACAGTGGCCTTCCTGTCCACCTGGGCACACTGGGGTATGAGAATGAAGTGCCTCCAAGGTCAGCTGCCCACACAACACAAAATCACTCAGAAAGGCTAAAATAAACACATGTCTCCCACTGAAGTTTGTCAAAGTAGGTGTTTATTAGCATCAAGTGCTCACTAACACCAACATTACCACCAACATTAAAGCTAAACACGCTTCTGCCTTAGCAAATAATCATAAATTAAATAAGCCTCGTGTCTGCCTATTTCTTTTCAAACACAGCAAAACACGCAGCTGTCACCCGTGTGTGAGGAGCTTTGAACTAACACATGTCGAGGGAAAAACAGCTCCACAGGACACCACTTACGTAAATGCAATGTACTTAGGCATAACAACACCAACACTGTTCGCAATTAACGCTTAATCATAATTAGCGCGTTCCCTACCGCACTCCGGCCCTGACAAACCGGAAAGAGGATCAAAAACACCGCTTCAATTAAAACTCCACTGGGGGCTGTGTCTGTAGCCACGGCTCAACCCCCCCCGCCTCAGCCCCGCTACCTCACCTACCACGGCCCCCCCTCAGCGCCGCTCACCTGCTTGGGCTCCTCGGCGTCTCCCCTCAGCGGGGCAGCGGCGCTCGCGCCGCAGGGCTCCTCCATAACCCGGGAATGGTCCGGGAACGGAGCTGGGAATGGAGCCGGGAAGGGCCGGTGAGAGCGGAGCCGCTTCCCGGGGGCGTCCGGCCGGGAACCGCCGCCTCTCGCGAGACTTTTCGAGAAGGCGCGGGAAGGGCGGGCTCTGAGGGCGGTGCCGTGAGGGGAGGGAGTGGCGGCGGCTCCGTGAGGGGCGGGCGTGGTGCGCCCAGTGGGATCAGTGAGTCTTTGAGGGCGGAAAAATACGTGGCTCAGCTGTGGCCGATCCCTACCTTGGCAATTATACCAAAACACGGAGTGTCACGTCCAGTCGTTCCTTAAACTCCTCCAGGGATGGGGCTCCACTGCCTCCCTGGGCAGCCCCTTCCAATTCTTGGCCTTTCCATGAATAATTTTTTCCCTAATCACCAATCTAGACTTCCCTTGGCACAGTTTGAGGCCATTCACAGCTGAGGCAGAAGGTCCCTCCCAGCCTCCTTTTCTCCAGGCTTGTTTGACTTTCCTGGGTAACTGGAATCTTAATGAAACAAGCGAAAACTTGGTGATGGGGTACCTCAGCATGGGAGAGGATTGAAAATTGCAGTGTCCTGCCCTCTGCTTGTACACAGTTCAACAAAAGCTAAGCTGTGGTAACTTCTGTAAGCAAGTAATTCCTAAATAGTGCCCATGGGATTTTTAAACATCTATAATTTTTCTTGTAGACGGTATTCCTCATTCTCTAAACCACGAGAGGCAGCACACTTCATGGTTGGTCAGGTAGTACGTATGCTGACTGCCTCTTAAATTATAGCTATCTAAAGCCACATACATATTTTATATAGCTATCTAAAGCCACATACATATTTTAATACACACAGACACACACACACACACACATATGTATATATGTAATCACAGAATGGTTTGGGCTGGAAGAGACCATAAAGATCATCCAGTGCCATCCCAGCCTTGGAAGGGACACCTTCCCCTGTCCCAGGATGCTCCAAACCCCATCTGGCCCAGCTTTGGGCACTGCCAGGGATCCAGGGGCAGCCACAGCTGCTCTGGGCACCTGTGCCAGGGCCTGCCCACCTTCACAGTGAACAATTCCTTCCTAATATCCAATCTAAACCTAGTCTCTGTTAGTTTGAAGCCAAAAAGGACACAAGTGTCATGTTTTTACAGTCTGTCAAGGCCAAGGAGGCCAAGTCCTGGTTTGTTATACAGCAGCCAAGTGTGCTGCAGTTAAATAGTTGGGATGTTTCCAAGCCAGCACTTAAACTCAAAAGCAAAAAAAATCCTTAAGGCGCAGCCAGGTTTTCTGTAAATATTGGGCGTGTATTCAATTAAGATGTGTGTATGCATAAAGCCATTTTCACGAGAGCAGGAAGTTACATCTTAAAAATTTTATCTCTGACGTCCTTTGGGTTTTCCTCAAACACAGCTCTCCCCACGCATTTCTATTCAGGCTGTAAAGTGTCACTGAAGTGATAGTGCAGAACCGATTTGTTTTTAACATTCAATCCTTTGACGAGCTGTTATTTCCCTCTCCCCTGCAGCACATGAGCAGGAGCAGCGTTTCCCGGCGTTGCTTTTGGTTGCTGGATCTCCTGAGACACCGGGGGAGGGCTCTGAGGTCACAGGGGAGGGTTCTACTCACCGCCAGCTCTGCGAGCAGGTCTCCAGGGAACCGCAGTGGCCCTTCCAGCGTGCCCTGGGGTGGCAGTAACACCGAGCAATGTCTGAGGACCACCCCGCTGACCGGCGCCCTGGCGACTGGGTAAGGGCCGAGCAGGACCCCTGTGCCCCCCCACAGGGCTTCTTCATGCTTAAACTCTCAAAAAAGCACCATGCTAAGGGTGACTCTGGCCGTTAGCCAGAAGTGAGTCTTCCCATTCCTGAGGTTTATGAGGAGAAAGTGTCCTACGTATTGAGAGGAAGTGTGTAAAAGTTCTGGCTTGCTAAGTAACCCTGGCTGGGTTTTGGGTTTTTTTCCAGTTTTCCAGCAATGCTGGAGATCTCTTGTTTGATAGTTAGCCCTGGTTGATTTTCCTTCTCTTCTGGAGAACTCCAGCCAAGGTTCACCTTAGTTCTCGCCTCCAGAAGAATACTGTGATCCCATCAGAAACACTGGGCTGGGACATCTTGGCATCCCAGGGCACTGTGACATTCCTGGCACAGGCTGTTCCTCACTCTCTGAACTTTGGTTTGATGTTTAGTTGAGCTGTTGCCAAAAGAATTGTACTTTCAAACTTGTACAACAGTAGGAATAGCACTGGAGAAAGGGGAGGAAGGCCGTTGTTTTCCTTGGTGGTTATTGCTGTATAAACAATTTTCAGGAAGGTCCTGGACATTCTTGTCTTGAAAATTCCTGAAATTCTTGTCTCGTTTTTTTATCTACGTTTGATGGTCTTTTTGGTAGGGTTTGTGCTGTGTGTGTGGTAGGCGCCTCATTTTTCCAGACGCCACTAGGTGCTGCTGCAATCCAAGTAATAAAAAATAAATGGGAAAATACAATTTTGCCCACATTTCTGATCAGATTTATTCGGGGGGGGGGGGGGGCNGGGGGGGGGCGCTGTTTTTTTTTTGTTTGTTTGTTTTAGTTGTTTGGGGTTTTTTTGTTGGCTTTTATTTTAAAGGGTCATAATCTTCATTATTTTCTAGTTTGTTCATGTTGGAGGGGAGCAGGGCGAGCTGGAATCAACAACAAGCGCTTCACTAAGACATGTCCTGAACTCGGCAGCTGCCCAGGGCAAGGAGCATAGAATGCCGCTGGAATACAGAGCTCGAGTGCAGGTGAGTTCCTGTGGCAACACAGCCGCTTTTCGGAGCTCTTTTGCAAGTTGTCACTCGCTAAGCTGTGAGTAAGAGCAGCACTCAGGGTCGTTAGCGGAGCAGTCACAGCGGGCTGGCAGACTTTGTGCCTCAGGGGATGGAGTGATTGCTGCCTGTGCTGCGGAGGAAACATATTTCCCTGTTACTCACTTATAATTTTAGTTGCTCAAAGTCGTGCTGTATTACTGCTGATTTTCTCTTTTATTATTGAGACACCGAATACATTATGATCAATCAGCCCACAGCCTGTGTGTAAAGCCCTGTAAGAAGGTTTCATGGAAATTTGATCAGCTGTTTGGCAATGAATGTCGGCAATTCAGTATATTTACACAAAGGAATGTTCTTTTTATTCATTAAAAAGTTAGGAGCTCCTTATTTCAAAAATTTGTGAGGCTTGATTAAAAATAAGATTCCTGAAAAATTGTAGGATTAAAGGAAATACAGTATTTTTTAAAATCACAAGTATTTAAAATGTTGTAGTGTTATAAGCACCTTTTCATGTCCTTTTTCTATCATTATACTGAGCTTTGCTTTACCCACCCATTTTGTACACAGAACATTTTCTATTTCCATTTTCTATAAGCACAGCAATTACAGTGGGGTCATTTCACAGGTTTTGCTGTAGTGAAGGGCAGAAATGAAGGGCTTGGAAGGAATATTTAAAAGGGAAGCTTGGAGCTACTGAAAAGGAGATTATACTGTAACATGAGTGTACACAGTGTTAATATTAATATTACATCTATTTTTCAGTGGAACATCTGGCCTTAGCCACTGCCTGAAAAGCAGAACCAGGGTAGAGGGACCTTTTATCAACACCAGTGTGACTTCACCTGAAGTTGCATGTCTTGTTTTTACCAGCCCTCCACTTTTATATAGAATTAGGGAAATTCTTGCCTGTCGTAAATTGAGAATTAATCTGAGATCAGTGGTGAGAGCACGAAGATGCACTAAAGGCTAAAATGGGACAATTGGAGAAAGTTTGTTTAGGCAGTGGTAATAAATACTATTCCTGAAATCTGAAATTGACATTTAATTGCAGTAAGATATTCTAGTAGGAAATTTACACAGTCAGGAGGTACTTCTTTTTAAACACACATATGAGAATGTATTTGTTGAATTTGCTTATCCACAGAATTACAGTCTGGGTGAATCAGTATGAGACAAGTGAACTTGTGAATACACCTAACAAAAGGAAGAGAATCTGCCTAGTAAATCACATAGTCTGAGATGTGACCATGCCGCTGACCCTGTGCTGGCACATTTTGTGTCTGGTGAATCTTCTTGCTGGATCAGGCCTCCAGTTACGTTGATCTTTAGAACTCATTCAGGTTCTCCTCCTCTTGAAACACTTCTTTTAGACTGCATTACATTAAAACTTGTTCTTTTGTTTGGAGGGGAATATCACGGTTGGGATATTGCACTGATATATAACAAACATTTAAAAAGTCAGATATGTTCATTATTTCTAAAATAGCTCTTTTTGCACTTGTCCTTTTTCTTCTGAAACTCTGATTTCATTTAGAGACTGAATGAACATCATATTAAAGAATGAGATTATAAATTAGTTAAGCAATTAATACCTCTTCCACTTCCCCTGCAACAAGCAGTGTCCATGACATTCAGTTCATAAATCACAGACTAATTCAGTTTTGAGGTCCCTTTTGTAGTTTATTTTAATTAGCTTTAGGCCTACTACTAAATCAAGCAAGGCAATCCTGACACATATCTACCATTTTGCTGCTTTGCAGACAGAATGTATCATTTCTTATTTGAAATTTCACACTTTTATATTAATCATGTATATATTCAGCAAATCCTCCTGATTATTTTATTAAAAAAAATTAAAAGTCCACATTACCCCTATAAAATCATGTGCAGGTGGATATTTAACATAGGAATGTGACTTCTGTGCTAAAACAAAGGCAGCTGTAATCTCACAATATAAAAAGGAAGACTAATAGACTCCAAACAGAATTTATGAAAATTCATGGGTTTTTGCTATAATTTCTTTCAGGAAGCAGGAAACAACAATTTCCCGTTCTCTTCTCATGACAACAGACATGACATATGCAATGCAGCTGAGTATTTTGACTTGGTAAGTATGCAGCACTGAGACAAATCAAGCAACTTCAGATCTATTGGTGTGCCAGAGATTAAACAGAGCATCTTTTCTGTCCCCTGCAGAAAAAGAAAAAATAGATGCTAAAACTTGTGAGAAGAGAAAAATGTAGATAGCAAAGAAAAATACACTTTTTATTAGTATAGGGCTGGGACATCTCTGGGACTATCATAGATGTGCAGCAGCACACACAGTCATTGAGAATGGCACAATTCAAAGGGAAGAAAAAAGCCATGATTTGGGCCTCTGACAAGCATTTTCTAATATGTCTGCTTTGGTTTTGTAACCAGTTAAATGTCCTATTAGTCTGCTCTAAGTTACTTGCCTTGCAATGAATTTTTGTAGAGATCTCAGCCACTTGTAATTTGCAGCCCCAAATATTTTGTTCAGACTCATATTTATCATTAACTTAACCAAAATCCATAGGATACCTACAATATATCTCAAGAATGTATTCTCTTCCTACCCTCATCTCTTTACAATACCCCTGTTTAAATGTATATTGTAGAAGCCACAACTTTGACTAGAATTTAAATTTTTTTGGGCTTTTCTCTGCGTTTCATGTTCTTCCATTCCCCTTAGATTGTTGATATTATTCTGGGCAGCAAAAGAAATACTGCAGTACATGGGATAATGAGTAAAGGAGGAAGCAGTGAATTGTGATATAGGGAGTTTGTCTGACTTTGGGCTCTGTCAGGCCTAGACTTTTTGGAATTCATTATCCACTGAATAACCTCAATTTCTGTGCACTTTGGGCAGTGTCTCATCGCTTTAGAGATACTGATCAACCATAATTCCAACTAAATTTCCTGAGAGCTGTGGAGTGTGAAAATCGGGCTCTGTCTCTCTGTGTTTGGACACACAAGGGATAGCATTGAAGATTCAGATTTCATGGTCTGTCTCAGTTTCTTTATTGCAGTCCAAACCTAGAATTATTAACCTATTTCTTTGGGTGCCTCTGAAGATTAATGTAGCAGAGTGTAGCTAAATAGCCTTGAGTAGATGGTGTGCTACAGAAATGCAAAGTAAAAGTGGTTTATTAGCACTGAGAGGTGGAAGGTCAGCAGATTTCCCATTATATATGCAACCAAAAATGTTCATACAGGCGAGTCTGACAATATTATTTTTAACTTGCTAAAGATCAACCGTGAGTTCTTGCAATCACTGTGGTAACAGCTTCGTTCACTTCCCAGTGGGGTAATGACTGTTACAAGATTCATCTGTGAAGCTGTGACTGGAAGTCATATGTTTACATGAATTTTTCTTTCCCCTTTTTTTTTTTTTTCCTAGGGCATGGGCCTGAGGAAGTTGGATCCAGAGAAACAGAAACAGAACTCCCATAACTTCTTCGAGTGGGCTCGTGCACCAGGCCGGAAGAGCAGCGAAGGCTTTGTAACAGTTTATCAGACCTCTTTTGTGGCAGATCAGACCCCTGGAAACGAGAGCCGGTGTTGCAGGCGCTACCCCAAGCACCACACCCAAAACCAGTGCAGTGGCCAAAAACAGTGCTGTGACAAATCTACTCCTGAGGATGACAAAGCCGTGTAGCCATAGAGTCCATCTTTATCAGCAGAACACCTTTGGAGCACTGACTGACCAAATCTCAACTATTCACTACTCAAAACAATGAAGGAATAAACATTTATGTAAAGTGCACGTGGCAGTACGGTTGAGAGTTCATTGTGATCAACAGCCTTACATTACTCTGAAAATATATATTACTGTAAAACCTTTGAAGAAGAGGAGCATTATAAGGAAAAACAAGATTGTGCATATTTTTAGACATACCTCTACTAGGAGAACAGAGATAGGGATTGTGCTTGTGTTACCTGATACTGGTTGACCCTCATCTTGATATAAAAGCTCCTTCAGCTTCTGAATCAGTGGCAGGGCTGTACCTCAGGCAGCTGACAGCACCTGTGTTGACACAGGAGCATAATGGAACTGGATCCTCGAGGGATTACCACAGCAGAGAGCCAAACCCCTGTGTGTTCAGGTAAGAGAGAAACATTTCTGAAAGGTTTCATGGCTGAGAAGGCAGGTGACCAGCCATTAGAGAAAGTAGATAAAAAAGAAGCTGGGCATTAGATTGCTGTACAAAGGGACCTGTTTGGTTATAGCACAGCAGTTGTAAAAGTGAAAAAAGAGTGTTGTGAACAACATTTGTGCAATCACACATTTGACTCATGACTGTAAGGGTGAAAAACTTGAGCTGAAATGGAAGGCTGCATGGAGGTTTGAGTTTGGGGTGGACTGGATCTTAAAAGAACTCAAGATTTTATAGTTACATGTAAAACAAGAAATTCAAACCCAGTTCTCCAAGCACTCTGCTCCCAGAATATTTACTGATGATAGGATGTGGCAGGCAGTAGGGTCAGACCTCCAGATGATGTGTTTTCCTCTTCTGGATCATTTCCATTAATATCAATAAAATAATAAGCTAAACTGTGTGTCTTAAAATATCCTACAAATAAGCTTGTTGCTATGCAAAATAATGTTGACTAAAAAAATTCAATCATAAGTTTATGAGATAATTTCCTTTATTTACAAGAAAAATGGAAAAATAAACCCTTGACCCTTAGAATTCCCTGCATTGTAAGAGCTGCCTTGAACATGAGCTCAGTTAAGGAATTACATTTCTGCCCTTCAGTGAACAGATGCATTTTTTGGTGTCAGCATGCAGTAGCTGCTGGCCTTTTTGTGTGCCATCAAAATAGATAGGATTAGATTCCCCAAATGTGTAGCATATTTATTAGCACATGTTGAAATAATAAACTCATTTTTTTAAATGGAGTTCCCCCTGTTAGAGTTCTTGGGGTGCTGTACAGTACATCAAAATCCAAAACATCAATGAACAACGTAAAACCAAATAAGAAGCCAAGTAACACAGTGCTATTAAAAAGAATTGCTTTTTCTCAAAGTAAAGACAGCCTGCCTGAGACAGCTCCAGAGTCAGAATTTCCACAGCTTTAGCCAACAATTTCATCCCCAAACTGATTCAGAACTGAAGTGTGTGCCAATCACATGGTGAATGAAGTGCCCCATGCTGTTTGGCAAACTCCAAAGGGCAATCTTGGACCTCCATCAGAAGGAAGGAACACATTCTTGCTCCATTAGTAATGTTTATCTGTGGTTTAGCATTACAACTGGATGTGGTGAAATAAATTGCTGTAGTTTGTTATGCTTTAAGACACCAATAGAAACATGCCAGATTTCTTTTTTCTCCTCTTTTTATTTTTTTTCTTCCCATTTTTGATTAAAATGTGGATTTAAAAAAAAGTACCTGTGGATTAATACATATTTTCAACTATATTGTAATAAAGATTGTGGAGGAGAAACTGAAGAGATCCTGAAACCCTAATAAACTGAAGTACACTGTGCTGGGTTGAATAAAGCAGGTGATTCCCACATATCTCATGCTGTGCCAGTGTTTCTTGAGTAAATAACAGGAGACACAATACACTGAATTTGGAAATGAATAATGAAATCCTCAGATAAATTTGTGTACTTTGGATAAAAAGTAAAAAACTCGATTTGTTTACTCTTGTGATAATAATGTCTCTGTGAGGAAGGTCCTATTGAGTTAAAACATTTTTGAACATGGATTTTTCTTTTGTTTGTTTCTTTGGGAATGGAAGAGATTGAAATAAGGCTGGTAAGTCCTCTAAAATTTTCTGGTCAATGCAGGAAAGTGTTCCTGTCTGGGAGTTCATTTGGATCAGATGGGTGTAGGTAGGCTCAGCAGAATAAGCATACCGTGGGTTAAGTCAAGCCAAATACTGTTCCAAGCGCTGCTGATAAGGATGGACTTATTTTGTGCATTGTTTTATTTTAAAAATATCAAACCCAAACATCCACTTTACTGAAACAACAGCCTTCATCCCCTGATCCTTTCCAAGCAGTATTGTTGCCCTCTGTTTTTATTCCCTGCATCAATGTAGGGGACTGCCTATGCAGCATTTTTAAGAAATCTTTTTTGTGTTAATTTAAAAGTGTTTTCAATGTATTACTTAAATTCACAGAACTTAAACAAAATCCATTTAAAAAAGTTAAACCAGAGGGCTGAACAGGCTTGCCAGGGAATGGGCACAGCCCTGAGGCTGCCACAGCTCCAGGAGGGTTTGGACAGCACACAGGGTGGGACTGTTGGGGTGTCTGTGCAGGGCCAGAAGAGGGGCTGGTGATCCCTGTGGGCCCTTCCAGCTCAGGATATTCTCTGGTTCCATGTTAATAGAGCTGAACTGAAGAGTTACAAATTTGCTACTGAAGTTTCCATGCTCTGGCTGAAGCGGCTTGGTTCTCAGGTGGCCAGTGGAGCTGTGCCTGGTGATAGTCTTGTGCCTGTGTCTGCAGTGTTAGGTTCACTTCTTTAAATTGTGCTTGTTTTTTTTGTCTTTCTGTCCTGCTTGCTAATAAGAAGATGTGAGGACATGGTCTCCCCCAAAGCTGCTGTTGCTCAGCCCGTGATGCTCTGGTAAGCTGGATGTCACCTGTTATAGCTGCCTCATTTCTGAGGTGTTGTGACCAATGAAAGCTGTTTACAGTCGTTAGAGACCCTGGTGTTCTGTGAGAGCAGATTGGGTTTGGTACAATAGGGGGGAAAATGGAAATCTTGTCTTTTGTTTACTTGGTTTCTAAAGACTTAAAGAAGTCGTTAAAGCTGGGACTGTGGGAAGCACTGGAAGGGGGAGTTCTGCTGCTGCTGGAGCTGGTAATTCAGTGGGGATGCAGCAGTTTGACTACCAAGTCATCTGCTGTTAATCTAATCACTGTGTGCATAATCTAATCACTCCATGTAGCTGAAATGTTGTTCCTTAGTTTGTACTCTCAAGGTTAGAGAGAAGTAACTTGATGTGGACGTGGCACTGGAGATGAGTCCTTTTCCGTCCCTGTGCTGCACAGTTACACAGTGACTGTCCCAGCTCTGTCTAAACCCAAAGTTGATGCTTATTTATTTACAGTGATATAGTTCATGTGTGAATGATATTAAGCTTTTTAAAATACTCTTTTACTGGTTTAACATTTCCCTAACTGAGGAAAATACTGGTATAACTGTGGTGGTGCTGATGTTGAACCAAGAATGCAGGCCTGTATCTGATGGAAGTGTTTATGTTGATACACTGGCCACGCTGGTTGGCAAGAAATGAAATTCTGAAATTAAGTAGAAACTTCATAGGTATCTCTATCTTCAAACCAAAACATATTATTATTATTATTATTATTATTATTATTATTATTATTATTATTATTATTATTATTATTATTATTATTTTCCTTAAGACTCTCCTGCTGCTGCTACATTATCTAATGAGCAGTAGATGGCAAGGATAGAGACCCATTCCACTCTGGAGTGGGAAAGAGCTATACAGAACTGCCTCATCCCAAATTTCTTGGTTTATTCCTGCCTCCTCAACAAAGTAATAAAATAACAAGCTGTTAAAGCATTGTCTGTGGAATATCTAATTAAAGGGAAGTCCATTCAACAGGGAAGCAATCCTAACTGTCCTTAAATTGGATATTTAGCCATAGTGGGTGTGAGCGAACTGGTAAAACACCCAATTATGATTTGGACAGGCAGCTGCTTTTATGAAAAGCACGATACCTCTTGTCTGGCCAAGCTTGTTATTCTTCAGTATGTTCGTCTGAAAATGAAGTATTTCAAATTGTCATTTTTGAAATGTGGTGTACAGAAAAAAAAATGTAGTCTGAAACAGGTAAGTTTAATTCAAACAGAAGGAAAGAAGTGTGCAGAGACCTCTGGGACTGCAAGGACTGGAAGTCGGGAATTGAGGAGTGCCTGCTCACAGGTGAGTGCCCAGCCCCCTGAACCAGGGAAAACCCTGTGCTTTCTCACAAGCCAGTGTTTAACTGTTACAAACAAAATGCTGCAGCTCTGGCAGGCCAGATAGAGGGGGTGCTTTTCCAGGTTGCCTGAACCGCTTCAGAAAATCAGAAGAATCTTAGGAATACCTTTTCTTTTAATCCCTTGCTGTGGGATATGTAGAAATAGCACTACTCTAATAACAATGAGAATGTGTTTTTGTGATCCCACAAAAATACTGAGTTACAGATTTTGTAACTCAAACAATGCTATGAAAATAGATTGAAAATAAAGGTCTCCTGTTCCTCTCTCACCCCACCACCCCCAAAAAGGGAGGTTGTGTTTAGACTGCCCAGTACATTCCAACACCTACAAATGGCAATGTTAACATGCAAACAGAGCAGCAGAAGTGTCAAGTCCTGTGCCCAGATGTAAACTGCTGTGGGCTCAGGCCCACAGTGTATTAACCAGACACTCGTGCCTCAAATGGCATTGTAGGCATGCATTAATGACCCTAAGTGACAGACCTCCTCATCTTATTGCTTAATTAATCAATGGCTCAGTGGCACATTGGCAGGGCTCTTTGTCAAGCTGTGTCTCCCCTCACAGGGTAATCAGATGCTATATGGCTCTGTCTACTTATGGGAAAGCCAAACCCAATAAATAAAGTTTAATTTCCTGATTCCCCTGGGATATAGTGTTTCTTTTTAACAATGATTCTTCAGTTAAGTTGAAATTAAAACCCAGCATGATCAACATATTGCAGAATATTTCATGGACCAAGTTAAGCACTAGGTTTAAAGACTTGAAAAAGACTGGAGGGGAAGACTCTTGA